GAATCCAGTTTAATGATTTTTGGGAGTAATCGTATAATTGTTTGAGATCATGAATGGTTTGGTTTTGAATTATCTGAAGGCTGGAGGCCTATTATGTGATTGCATGTTGTTAACTTGTGCATGCTGCCAGTTGGTGTTTTAAAATGTGTTTTATGCAGGTTGGAATTTTTTGGGGAATGTTCAATTTACAGGGGAGATTCTGCCGAAATTTCGGCAGAAAGTCTTGTGCTATTTTCCCTTAATTTGGAAAAGAGGCTAAATTTTTAGTAAGTGGGCCCGACATTGGTGTGATGTCGAAAAATTTCCACATGATTCGTCTCGAGTTTCGAGGAATTCGAGGCGGGTCCTGTCAATTTCATTCTCTAAAAGGAGGTATTTATAATACAAGGTTACAAACCCTAGTAGGGTTAAACTAGAAAATAAGTGGAATCCTAATAATATCTATACAAAAGGAAATAAATAAAATCCTAATAGAATAAGAAGGAAATATCCTAATGGAATAGGATATCTCGCTAACACCTTCTTCTTTAGTCCCCTGGGGTTTGCAGTTGTTGGCCTGGGCTTCAGCTTTGTCTGGTGCTGGTTTTTTTGGTTGTATTTGGGCAGTGGCCCTCTCTTTCCCTTTCGTTAATTGAAAGTGTGTTTCGACCAAAAAAAGATTCCAATTGAAACCGTGTAGGGTTTTCTTTGGTCAACACCACCACGCGAACACAGAGTTATCCATCTCTCTGTCTCTCTCTTCCATTTCCTTTCCTGCGTCCCCTACACTGCTTCCCATTATCTCTATTGTCTTTTTATGAATTATTTTTGGGTTTATGCTAAAATAAACATTTTCAAAACATTTAGTAATAGCCCCTTCCTCTCACAGTGCTTCTTTGTTATCCCCACTAGTATATCTTTGTTGTCCGTGCCTGCCTATTTATTACAAGGGTGACTAAAAGTTCTGAATTATTTTTTGGCATAAGTGTAATTTGTTAAATTGTGATTGACAGAAAAATAAAAGCTCCTAATTCCAAGGAAGAAGGCAAGTATTTTCCCTCTCTTTTTCATCTATTCCTACAACTTTCGTATTGATTATTTTCAGTGTGTTGTTTTTTTTTTGGTCTGCAGACAGTCAAGTTTGCATCTTGTTTTTGGTTGGGTTGGTTCTTTTCCTGCCAATTCTCTGGCTTTGTGATTGTTTTGGTGGTTTGCTGAGCTTATTGTCCACAGTTGACGTTTGCTTTTCATTGATCTCTAGTTTGTTTTTTTGCTGGGTATTTTTCCTCCGGCTTTATTCTCTTTTGCTTAATACATTTTCAATTACCAAAAGAAAAATTAAAGCTAGCACTATACCATCTTCTTTCTATGTTACTACTGAGTGTGTTCAAAGCCAGATTCTGAGGAACCGTCTTTTCCAATGGCCTTGAGCACCCAAAGAGCCTCCGCATATCTTTCGGCTGAATCGGCTCCTTCTCGATGGAAACATGATGTTTTTCAGAGTTTCAGGGGTGCAGACACTCGCAGGGGTTTTATGTCTCATTTAGACCACGAACTGCGGAACCGGCAAACAATAAAAACTTTCAAGGACGACCGAGACCTTGAAATAGGAGCAACTATTTCTCCGGAGCTGTTGACCGCAATCGAAGAATCACATCTTGCCATCATTGTTCTCTCCCCAAATTACGCTTCTTCCACTTGGTGCTTGGATGAACTCTCAAAGATTCTTGAATGCATGGAAGACACCAAGAGAATTCTGCCAATCTTTTATGACGTGGATCCTTCCGATGTACGAAACCAAAAGGGGAGATTTGCGGAAGCCTTCACTAAGCATGAAGAAAGGTTTAGTGAAGAAGCAGAGAAGGTGAAACGGTGGAGAGCTGCTTTAAGAAAAGTTGCCAATCTCTCTGGCTTAGATTCAAAGAATTATAAGTAAGCATGCATGCATGAACAACTAATTTCTTGTGTCTTAACACGAATCCTACTTGGATTTTACGTTTCTGTTCTTGCTTTAATTCAACAACCTTGGATGTCGTATTTATGGATTAATGGTTATTTTATTTTTCTTCCTTGTAGGTCGGAAGCAGAGCTTATCAAAGATATTGTCAAATGTGTGTGGAGGAAAGTGCATCCAACATTCATGTTGTCAGGTTCTCCCGAAAATTTAGTCGGAACTGATTTTGCACTTAAACAACTACATTTGCAATTAGCTCCCGAAGACAATGACGTTCGCTTTATAGGGATATGGGGGATGGGCGGGGTAGGCAAAACTACCCTTGCTAAGCTAGTTTTTGAGAGAATTTCCCATCATTTTGAACTTAGTTCGTTTCTATCAGATGTGAGTGAGGTTTCTGCAAAACATGGTACACTAGTTGCTCTACAAAGACAACTTCTTTTCCCAATCTTGAAGGTAGAAAATATTATCCAAGTTTGGGATGAAGAGTCGGGAATATTGTTCACTAAGAAATGTTTATGGAATAAAAAGGTTCTTCTCATCCTTGATGATGTGGATCAATTAAACCAGCTAGAAAAACTGGTTGGAGAGAAAACTTGGTTTGGCGTAGGGAGTAGAATTATCATCACAACTAGAAATGAACGTCTACTAGTTCAGCATGATATAGCGATATGCCATAAGGTTGAGGTATTAAACAATGGAGAAGCTCTTAAGCTCTTTAGTCGACATGCCTTTAAGAAAAATCAGCCTGCGGAAGGTTTTCTAAAACTGTCTCAGCGTGTCCTACATTGTGCCAAAGGCCTTCCATTAGCTCTTAAAACTTTGGGGTCTTTGTTGTATACGAGAGATCAAGATGCATGGAATAGTGTGTTGCATAATCTAGAGAAAATTCCTAATCCAACAGTTTTTCATTCACTCAAAGTAAGTTATGATGGACTAGAAGAGATGGAGAAGAAACTTTTTCTCCATGTTGCATGCTTCCATAAAGGGAAGGATAAAGAGAAAGTAATTGAAATACTAGACAGTATCTGGGACATTTCCAGTCTTATTGGGATGGATATTCTTATTGAGAAATCTCTCTTAACTATTAAAAAAAACTATTTTCGTAGAGACACTGTTGAGATGCATGATTTGATACAAGAAATGGCATGGGAAATTGTTCGTCAAGAGTCTGTCGATGACCCTGGTAAACGCAGTTGTTTGTGGCATCCCAACAACATTTCTCCTGTATTCATGAACAATACGGTAGGAAACTTATGTTAAAATACTAAGTTTAGAAGATAATATATGTCATTTCTTTTAAACGATATTATAGACTTGAATGTGCGATTAACTTTTCGTTTTTCTTAATTATAGGGAACACCCGCAATTGAAGCCATAGTCTTATGTTTGCCGGAATCAGAAGTGGTACACTGGAATTGTAATAAAGCCTTCTCTAAGATGCCTGAATTGAGGCATCTTGAATTTGATAATGTGATCTTTTCTTCAGGCCCCAAAGTTCTTCCAAATTCGTTAAGAATTATTCGTTGGAGCTGGTATCTTTCCAAATCACTCACACCAAAATTTCACCCACGCTTCCTTGTTAAACTAGAGATGCCTCATAGCAAACTTGTCCGGCTTTGGGATGGAGCAAAGGTAAGAGTATAGAAATATGGCATTTTATACTTCTTTTTTTGTCTAGCTTGTATCATTCTTTTGATACTTATCATTCTTCAACTTTTATGTACCGTACAGGACTTCCCAAAGTTGAAATATATTGATCTTAGTTACTCTCATAAACTGGCCAGTAGCCCAGATTTCACACACGTTCATATTCTTGAGGATTTGATTCTGAAAAGTTGTACGAATTTAATTGAGGTCCACGCGTCTATTGCAGTTCTCAAAAGGTTGAAACGTTTGGACCTTAGTGACTGTAAAAGTATCAAGAGTCTCCCAAGTAAAGTGGAAATGGATTCTCTTGAATATTTCAGTCTTTGTGGCTGCTCAAAAGTGAAAAAGCTTCCAGAATTTGAGGGACATATGAAAAATTCGTTCAAGCTCATTTTAAATGGTACTGCTGTTGAGCAAATACCTTCATCAATCGAAGGTTTGGTTGGCCTTGCTGTAGAGGGTATGAACAATTGGAGAAGTCTCTCGGGTCAAATAGTCTATATGCAAAGATCCTCAAAAGTTGTCAAACTGCCAGGGGAGATGGAGTGTTTAGAGGAGCTTGAATTAAGTGAAAGTGCTATGAGAGAGCTGCTTGTTTTTATGAAAAATCACAAATATCTATCCTTTCTTCGATCATCAACTTCAAGGGATGGCAGTACGTGGTTTAGAATTAGAAAGAGTCACCCTGATCCTGCACCTGACCCTTTGGGTTTGGTGCTGTCTTCTCTAAATGGTTTATTCTCATTCACAATTTTAGATTTAAGCGGTTGTAATATTGGTGAAGGAGTCATTCCCGATTATATTGGCTGCTGCTTGTATTCTTTAGAACATTTAGTACTTAGTGGAAACAATTTCTTTAGCCTTCCCACGAGCATTAGATTCCTTTCTAAGCTTAGGTCTCTTGACTTGAGTTTGTGCGAAAGGCTTCAGCAATTGCCAGATCTTCCATCAAAGAGATCCTTTTTACTGATAAATGTAGACGATTGTACTTCCTTAAGAAGGTTGTCAGATCCATCAAAGTTGAGCGAAGGAGCCAATGTGTATGATTTTGAGTTCACTTGTCTTAATTGCTTCAAATTGGTTGAAGAAGAAGGCTGGATTAATCGAATATTTGCAATGATAATGAGATTGACCGCCCCTAACTATTACTCTGAGGTACTCTCTCTCTTATTGAATGAATACCATGATTTTCATTTATTACTGTAATAAATAAATATAATGGCAATTCTTTTGGTACAGGGAATTTTATGGCCTGCAAGTGAAATTCCAGAGTGCTTCAGTAATCAAAGTGTGGGAGATTCAATAACTGTGGAGCTGCCTCTTTCTCCACCTCCACAATCATTATGTAGCAGTGATTGGGCTGGGATTGCTTTATGTGTTGTTTTGGAAGATTCTGAATATTTGCGAAATCTAACCGCCCTTGTTGGATATGATTATTTCAAAATTCAATGTTTGCGGGGTCCGAATGTGAATTTTAGAGTTGGGCATCTAAGGTCACAACATCTTTGGGTTTTTTATTTGCCTCGCCATCATCCTAGCCTCAGGGATGCCTCGAGCAGTCATCGGTTTTCATTCGAAGTACATTATGGTGCATACAAATCTTCCAAAAGACTCAAAACAAGCTCGAATATAAAGGAATGTGGGGCCCGTTTTCTGTACAAGAGAGATTTGGAAGAATTCAGCGGAATACAAAAAATCCCAAAGCCCAATTGGAAATCAGCACTTTATGCAGACAGGCCCAATTGGTAGTAGTGGACCGTAGGATTGGGATTTTGAGCCAATTAGCAAAAGATTCAACGAAGTCTAAATTATTTTGTGCTTGGTTCAATCATTCAATGATGTCAGTCCGCAGAATTCATCTCAGTAAGTTACCTTTTCTTTCCAGTTTTCTTTTGATCTCTTTCTTTTGAGTGTATCATAATGCTGTGCTACCAAACTGTTGCTATAGTGAAATAATGTGTGGAAAATGTTAGTATTGTTCTGAGTCTTCTGACCAAAAGAAAAAAAGGGAAAATTGTTAATAATGGCGAAAGAATGTGTGTGACCGTTTCCCTAATAAGAGTTTCTAAAGGAATGTGAGTGAAGGAAATTTGCTGCTTGATTTTGATTGCTCATTGCTGCTTTACGATTATAGCTGCTTTTGGATTTTGCAGCAGGCATGTAAATTAGCATCTTCGCAGTTATTTAAATTTAATTCGATATAAAATCAGGAAAGGAAAGGAGAGGTGGTTAGTTCATAAGGGAAGAGAGAATAACAGAGAAGAAGGAGAGGCAAAAGGAACTGTGAGTTTTAGCTTTACAACAAAAATTAGCAGAAGTGGAGCAATTAACATAAAAATTAACAAAAATCAGCTTATTTTCATTGCTAATTGCTTATGTTGTATCTTTTATAATGATTTTCCTTTCTTAATTTCGTTTCAGTTCTCTGGAAAAGAATTGGCAAAGCCAGAGTTGAAGTACTGGGAATACCATCCAAGTTCCATGTAGCTGGTTGCTGTGTGAACTCTGATCACTTCTGAGGAGACCAATGACATTGTCGATTTTGAAGTCATTGATGCGTTGGGTCCAAGGGGTGTTCAGCATTGGAAGAGGCCTTCATGTTGATGAACCTGAGTGTGTGCACCGTGCATTGCTGGATGGTTTCTGCTGAAATGGTTAGTAACTTGGGTGGGAGGTATCTTTTTCTGCTTAAATGGTTTCTTCTGTAGGTTCAAGTCCACATGTTGTATATGTTTGATACAGTTGGGAGGTATCCCAAAGTTGAGATTTTCTTTAACGTCAAGCTGTGATAATTAACTAAGCTACTTTAATTGTTTAATTTGCTCTCAAATTAACTAAGACTATCTATCTATCCTCGCAGTTGGGGAAAAAACTGTGCATGCTTTGACGATGGCATTCAACAAGTTTCAAATCGAGCGTAAGGTAATGTTTTATTTTTCATCTACAAGGTTGGAGGAGAGCTATTCTCTTATTACATTTTGGTTATATAGTTTTCCACCATTTGCAAAAGTAATAACACATGCACTTGTTTGCTTTCATCTGTATATGTCAGATTCACCCAAAAGAGATGCAAAGTTGTTGTATATGTCCATAACCATGAGTTGGTCAATTCAGTTAATGATGAGGAAAAGCAAGCAATGTATTGATGGTGGCTACTATTTAAATTGCTGTGTCAGGTTTTATTGTTTTCAGAATGAACAGATAATGTACAAATGCTTGAGACTATGACAATCATGATATCTAAATGAAGCATTTAGAATGTAATCTTATTAAGTAGTTTTGTCTGAAAATGGACAGAGCTTGCATATAGCTACTTTTACCAAGTCTCAATGCCGTGCAAATCAAGCTGTTGCTGTAGTGAAGTAATGTGTGGAAAATGTTAATATAGTGTGTGAAAAATCACATCTTGCCATCATTGTTCTCTCCCCAAATTACGCTTCTTCCACCTGGTGCTTGGATGAACTTTCCAAGATTCTTGAATGCATGCAAGACACCTTGAGAATTCTACCAATCTTTTATCACGTGGATCCTTCCGATGTGAGAAACCAAAAGGGGAGTTTTGCGGAAGCCTTCACTAAGCATGAAGAAAAGTTCAGTGAAGATGTAGACAAGGTGAAGCGGTGGAGAGATGCTTTAAAAGAAGTTGCCAATCTCTCTGGGTTGGATTCAAAGAATTATCAGTAAGCATGCATGGATCAACAACTTGCTTGTTTCTTACTAGAGCTCTACTTGGATGTTACGTTTCAGTTCTTGCCTTAATCAATAACCTTGGATGTTATATTTATGAATTAATGGTTATTTTAATTTTCTTCCTTGTAGGTCGGAAGCAGAGCTTATTAAACACATTGTCAAATGTGTGTTTAGGAAAGCGCATCCAACGTTCATGTTGTCAGGTTCTCTAGACAAGTTAGTCGGAATTGATTCTGCACTTGAGCAACTACATTTGCAATTAGCTCCCAAAGAAAATGATGTTCGCTTTATAGGGATATGGGGGATGGGTGGGGTAGGCAAAACAACCCTTGCTAACCTAGTTTTTGAAAGACTATCCCATAATTTTGAACTTAGCTCGTTTCTATCTAATGTGAGAGAGGTTTCTGCAAAACATGGTACTCTGGTTGATCTACAAAAACAACTTCTTTACCCAATCTTAAAGGAAAATATTATCCAAGTTAAGGATGAACGGTCAGGAATCTCTTTCATTAGAAAATGTTTACGCAATAAAAAGGTCCTTATCGTCCTTGATGATGTGGATCAATTAAAACAACTTGAAACACTGGTTGGAGAGAAAAATTGGTTTGGTTTGGGGAGTAGAATTGTCATCACAACTAGAAATGAACGTCTACTAGTTGAACATGGTATAACAAAACCATATGAGGTCAAGGTATTAAATGATAATGAAGCTTTTGCGCTCTTCAGTCAAAAAGCCTTTAAGAAAAGTGAGCCTGAGGAAGGTTTCTTGGAATTGTCTAAGTGTTTCCTACATTATGCCAAAGGTCTTCCATTAGCTCTTGAAACTTTGG